AAAATTTAAGTTGTCCCTTAAATTTTATATTAATATTATGATTATATGTGATAATATATTATTAAAAATAAAAATAAATACAATAATGTAAATATATAAAATAACATATCTAATTTTATAGCTAAATGTGCTAAATATAATCTACTTTGTCATGTGATTATCAAATATGTGATTAATATATTAGTTGAGACCAAAGCAATACAACTATGAAATTATGAGACTAGTTAGGCCAAATGGTAATATAGTGAAAGGTATACAAATGAGTTGGACCATGGACGATAGGCCACCTGTTACGTCTACGGAATAGAGGATGTAAATCATCAACTAGAGTGTTTGATTATGGGGGTGAGTCGTCACTATAGCTCGGGTATAAAAGAAAGCTACGAAGTGAAAAGAAAAAAAAAACAAACAAATAAAGAATGGGGAATGAAAGTAATGAAAGTTAAGAAGTTTTTGATGGTGGAAAGAAAGAGTGGGGTATGAGTTTTAAGGTGAGTTATATTTTGAGTCATTATAATATATTTTACGTATGTTTTGAGTTATTATAATTCATTTTATACAATTTATATTTTATAACTTATATTTATATTTTAATTACATTAATTATTTTCTAAATTTTATTTGTTTAAAATGAAACACGTGGATATGTTTGTTTAATTTTTAATGATTATTTGACAATAATTTTATAATTAATTATATTTTGTAAGTACCACCATAGAAGTCTCATTCCTTGGGGACTTAAATAATTATTGGCCTCTGTTTGGTCACTTTGCGGTCCTTTATTGTCATGGATCTATTGATCTCTATTCTGTGCGGACTAAAGTGTTATGCGGAGATAAATGCTATGTTATTGTGGGAGCCACCTCTATAATCCGTACGAGCCACCTATTGAATCCGTACATCTGTTTTCACTGTCACTCCTTTGACCTTTGTTCTGTTCTGTTTGGTACCGTGGTTATGGTTATCTATTTACATAATCTCAGTTTTGCTACTTAAATGATTATTTGTTCAGGCTAAGTTATCTTAAATATTTTAGTTACATAAATATCCATAGTTGTTTTGTGTCCCTTATACTCTTAGCATAATATTTCTTACTCTCCTATGCGCTTATTGCTGTTTACTAATTTTCAGGAAACAATGCAATTCATAAAGAACTCTTGGATAATCTTAAATGCGAGACTGCAGAATAGACACACACAACACTTTTATGATATTTTTATATGTAAATATCGGTATTCTTGGTCAATAAATTTTGTAATAAAAATAGAAACTCCGATGATTATTTTGGTACCTTCACTTAAATATTATTTCCGCTTGCGTTTATTAATTTGTTTAATAATTGGCCGGAGGTAACTTCAGTTACTGGCCATCACAATACTTAACCCTTAGGTACGGGGAGCGGGTTGTGATAATAATTATTTATAAAGGAACATGATGATTTGACATTTATTTTGATTTTTAAAATTTTAAAATATCAACTTTCAAATTGAATAAACTTTTTAAAAAAATTATGTGAAAAAAAAAACAAGAACAAAAATATTTTTTTTTGAAAAAGCTGTTTTTTTTTTTGTGTGCAAAACTAAAAATTTTGTGTCTATAAAAGGAGCATGATAGTGGAACATTGATATGCAAAATTGAAAAAAAATGAAAAAAATGAAAAAACTAATAATATTCTCAGTTTTAAAACTGGAACAAACTGATGATGTTCTCAGTTTCACTGATGATGTTCTCAGTTTCAATGGATAGTTGAATCAAACCAATAAGTAGAAGGGCAAAAACGTTTAATCTCATGTTTTTTTTTCCCCAAGTTAGTGAAACAACTATCTAGAATGCTATTATGCAAAATTAATAATGTTCTTAATTTAAAAAATTAAAAAAAATTGATAATATTCTCAATTTACTAAATAGAACATATTGACCTTGAATATGGCCAATAAGATTTAAACCTTAGTCCTCATTGTAAAATTGACAATTACTGGCCAATAAGATTTAAACCTTAGTCCTCATTGTAAAATTGACAATTACTTAACTTAATTAAGTTAATTTTTATTAATTTATTTACTATTATAAAATATATATCATATCCTTGTTACATTAACCCCACCTCGCCCAAAAATACATAACTAATGAAATAACAAATACGTCTTTAGAAAATTTAGATATAGAAAATTATGATTTAGAAGAATTTGATTTTGAAAATAAGGAAGATTATTGGAACATAGAACAACCAGCTAATTTATAATTAATTTTTGCAAAAATAGGAAAAATAAAGAAAAAACCAATATACAGGAGAACCGAAAATGATATATATATATATATATATATATTAATATTTACTCCATCTATTTCAAAATAATTGTCTCTTTTGAGAAATCTATTTTTTTTGACAGTACACTTATTATATTTTAAAATATTAATTTTTTAAAATTACCCTTTGATAATATATTTTTTTAAAAATATTCACTTTGCTTGTTTCCACTTTTCAAAAAATACTTTTCAGAAAATTCTACTTTCTTATTTTTCGTATTTTTTTTTGTTTTTACTTAATTTTTTTAATATTTTAAGCAATTTTTTTACTTTTTAGACACACCTAACATAAATACACCTAAAAAGTAAAAAAAATGTAAAAAAATATTTTAAAAATTCACTAAATACCAAAAATATAAAAAAATATAAGAATTCAGTACATTTTTTGTATTTTTATGTATTTATTAATTTTTTAAAATATTTTTTCATAAATTTTTTACTTTTTAGATACATCTAAGTAAGGTGCATCTAAAAAAGTAAAAAAAAATGTTTAAAATTTTAAAAATATTCACTAAAAAAAAACACGAAAACCAAAAAAGACAGTTTTCAAAAAACTTAATTTAGAAAATTCAAACCAAACACATTGATTAGTTGTCATAATTATACTTTTTGTGTTGTTAGTAAATTTAAAAGAATGACAAAATAAGAAATTCATATTATTTTAGTCATTGATTTTTTAAAATAGACTAATATTTTGGACAAAAACATAAAATAAAAAGCTAATATTTAAAAACAAAAGAAGTAATAATTTCACGTATCATAAATTCATAATGCACCACTCTACTATTATTTATTTTGTTATTAGTTATTAATTGTAATTATAAACTTTTAATGCTACGTTGTATTTTAAATTTGTAAGTTACCTATGTTTAGCAATAAACATGAGCATCATTGCTTTTATTTTATTCAACAAACTGAAACATATTTTCAAATTATACAAGTAACACAAAATACAACTTACAAGTTACAAATAGATATGAAAGAACACAAATCCAAATAGAAAATAAATAAATAAATAAATAAAACAAAAAATTATTTTTAAATGTGGTTGGTGTTGTCACCATTACAACAAATGTATAGGTGTCGTAATGCCATAACATGGGTGTTATGTTAATGGCGGTTACACTTATTAAATTCAATCACATTAGTATAGCAGCTATAATAAGGTCTCTTTTGGGAACCTATCAAATAAATTGTTTATTAATTTATTAACTTATTTCTATTATATCATCTTTTTATTTTTTGATACATCTTTTTGTAATAAATAAAGAGTAAAAAAAATAAGTTACACCTAAAACAACCCTTAACGGTTACATATCGCCAAACAGTTGCAGCCTATTTTTAAAATCACATTTTTTTTTATCAATAATATTACATATCTATAAAATTTATTTAAAATTTTACTTAGAAATATCAACTTGTGATATAGATTTATTTTACACATAAACCTTACACTACGTAAATTCAATTTAAACTACACTACGTAAATTTAATTTAAACTACACAATTTTATTAGGAGTAAAAGTTTATAATTTTTTTTGGGTAAACAAATGACTATATTTTTCATTCCATTTTTTTTCCTACTTAGTCCGATTGACTATAGCTCTTGCAACTCACTTAGGAGGTCAATAGTTCAAAAATAAGGTCGAGTTTCCACACGTGTGTGATTTTTCTCACTATGAGAATTTTTTTTTATTCATTATATTGGCCTTGTTTAGCGTATCTTGTTAAGTTAAAAAATAATAATCAGAAAGTAAAAACCAATAACATCGTTCACCCAGCTTTGAGACTATTAATTTTTTTTTAGTTTATTTAAATTATTTATGTTTAATAAATTATAAAGATAAATTGTACTAAACAATTTGAAACAAAATTTTAAATTAAAATAATTTATAAGTAGCATATTTAATTTGCACCAAATACCTATTGTAATTTTTTGAGAATCAAATAAAAAATACTACTGGGAATGTGGCCTCGTGGACAATGCTTTGCGTTTCTACAAGCCATTAGATGTTTTGGTGGTAGGCTATTTTCTATGAATTAGGTTAAATTTAGCCTCCGTTTGGGAAGTGGGTTGATTTTTTGGCTTTTTGACTTTTTTGGCTATTTTAGCCTGGGCTAAAAAACTTGGTTTGGGAAGGGCTTTTTGGCTTTTTGGCTTTTTTGACTTTTTTTGTGAGAGAAGAATGTAATGATTATAGGTTGGATGTGATGTTTTGTTTGTTATGGCTAAAATAGTCTATTTTGTTTTTTGTGGCTAAAATAGCCAAAAAAACCTGAAAAAGCCCTTGCCAAACACAGGCTTAGCTAACAACTGATTATCTCGAAACAAGGGCTCACACATGCTATAATGTCTCACTAAGTGTCTTTTTTTATCAGTTGAAAAAAAAGAAAGTATTATTACTATTTAAGACAAAAAAATTAGACCTAATTTTAAAATTCAATAATGTAGCAATCAACTAAAATATTAAAAATAATATTTTCTTATATATTTTTTAATTATCAATTAATCATATTATTTATATATTATTAAATCTATAAAATGAATCTAAAAGTAAGCTTGTATTTTAATTTTCTTGAAAAAAGAAATTGATGTACACAAACAAACAGAAATATCGTCGAGTTGAAGTATAATGCCACGTGGAAACTACCTATGAATAAAGCAAAGGCTTTTCCTTCCTTCCGTTACCAACTGGCCAGTGAAACAGTGTTGACGGACTCCACTTCTGGCCTCTTCGAACCGACACTTCTTTCTCTCTCTCCTCCGTTGTCAATTTCGGGCAACCCCAGCTACCATTGCATTGCGTTTCACGTTTCCTCCTCTCTACTCTCTCTCTCTCTACTCTCTCTCTACCATTCATACCCTAGATCTCTCTCTCTCTCTCTCTCGCTCTCTAATGGCAGTGGCATCTGCGAACTCAGTGAAAACCGAGACCTCACAATCAATGGACTCATCGCCTTCCGGACGAGTCTCCGACGCCGCCTCTGAGTCCTCATCTTCCGCTGGACTCTCATCAGCAACAGCCGCAGATCCACCCAATTCTTCACCCAACCCTCCCAGAGACCTTGAATTTCAGGTGCGATTCATGCTTCTCTACTCCTTCTCTTCATCTTCTCTGCTTAATTGATTCTATGCTTGATTTTTCTTTTTCTTTTTCTTTTTCTTTTACTTGTCTCTCTGTTTGGTTCTCGAGAAAATTCAAGAAAATTGATTGGAAAACTATTGTAGTTGACTTTGGGTAATTTGTGTTTCGTGTGCCTGAAATAGTGATTTTGAGTGTTTCTATTACAGCCTCAAGCGTCTCAGAGGAGTGAAGAGTATCGACGACTGTTTCGTCTTCCACCTGAGGAAGTGAGTGAGCTTATCAGAACTTATTCTTTTTTTCTTTCTTGAAGGTCTTTTTGTTTTTGTTGTTGTTGTTGTGCTGCCGGTTATTATCTTCAATTATGGAAGTATATTGTTTTATTTGTTCGTTCTTGATATTTGAATACTTAAAAAGTGTTTGATCAAGTTTTCCTCATTCTTTCATTGGAGAAAATAGTTAAATGCTTACGAATGTGAAAAAACTATCTTTGAGAGCTCGGTTACAGACTCATAAATAACTTACTTTTAATCTGAATAGATTAACATATTCTCATCTTATTGAAGTTTTGGGGACTACATGATGGATTCAATTGAACCACTAAAAGGTATAAAAGATATTTGGAATGGTTCAATGGTTTGTATGCAAACATATGATTCACACTAAAAAATAGGATATTACATGACGTAAAATACTCCTTATCGGTGAATGACAATTTTAGAGAATGAGATGGCAGTACATTGGCGCAATGGTGAGATTGCTCCACTGTAACCTAGGCGTCATGAGTTCAAACCCGGAATAAGACTATGTTAGTCAGACCCTTGGTGGGAGCAGATTAAGCAACTTGCATGAAACTTGAGTTCTAGCATGTTAGCGCTTTAGAAAGGTTGTGGGGTCCATAGCTTCCAACTCGCATGACCGCCCTAGAGAGAACAAAACTACAGGAAAGCAAGAAAGAAGAGAGCTCCCATCTAATCCATTGTTTTCCTTCCTTCAAAAAAAGTTGTAAGAGACGACACTGAAACCTGTGAACTGTGCTGCCTTTTTTAGATGGCAGTATGTTAACATGGATGATATGGATCAATTACCACAATAAGGCACTATTTTGTAAACCTTAAAATTTTGAAAAGATTTAATATTCATTTTATTTCTCAAAAGATGATCCCAATTTGTGTATTAAATGTGCATTTAAAGTCCTCCCTAGTTAATGCAAGTCGATAGGTCCTTCAATCTTCGAGTACACTATCGACTTGCCACACTTCTCATGACAATATCACTGATCTTTGGTAAGGCTGTCTTTGTTTTACGATACTAAATGTTAGTCGGTTAAGAAATGACATGCTTAAAAAACAAGTGTAGCATAAATGATGACATTGAGATAGATGATTGGGGTTGCGTGGTAGGAGATAAAAAGAACTGAATGCATTTGTGGAAAGTTAGAAGTGGCACTGGTTGAAGATAACATGAGGGAGAGTCATTTGAGATGGTACAACTATGTGTAATGTAGATAACTAATGTGTTTGGATAATGGAATGACGGGTGCCAAAAGGTGCAAAGTGATAGGTCTATAAGAACATGGATTGAGGTGGTGAGAAAGGATATGATTGCCTTAGGCTTAACCCAAGGATATGGTTTTTAATAGAGTCAGCTAGGGAAAACAGATCCATGTGGCTGACCCAGGTAATTGGGACTAACCCTTGTTGAGTTGAGTTGACATAAATTGATAGGCTGTTCAGTTGTCAATTAATCAAAGTAGCTTTTGAGTGGTCAAAGTTGCTTTTTACAGTCAACTCCAAGGGGTTAGCCTGGTGACAAGGTCTTGGGTCTTGAGGGTGTGCTTCTTCCGAGATTCAAGGATCGAAATCTCTTAGGTGCTAACAATTCCTTGGGGCATCGGACTAGGGGAAACTCTTGAATTAACCGTGGTGCACAACTCCTTGTTTAGGGTCTATGCACCCCTGGGGATTAGTCGAACTTTGATCCGGACACTCCGGTGCCAATAAAAAAAGAAAAAAAAGAAAAAAGGTTGCTTTATGCAATTATCCTTGCAAGCTCTCTCTCTCCACACTTAATTTTGCACTGTTTACGTATTATGAATTTGCAATTGGACAGTCCTTATTGTGTCTACTTTGATTACACTCCTATTGGATGAATGGTTGTCTCTCTTTTTCAAGTGCAACATCCCTCAAGTTTTGCGTAGATCTCTTTTCGTCTATTATTTCAAGGCATGGTTAATATTTTTCTTTTCCTTGTCTGTTGCACAGGTCCTTATTCAAGATTTTAATTGTGCATTGCAAGAGAATTTTCTTCTTCAGGTATGTTTGTGATGATGTCTTGAATTCCTTACTTGGGATTTCATGCTTCACTTGATAAGTAATTTGATTTACTGCATATAATGTAAGTAAATTATGATCCTCTTATTGCTTCTGAAAGAACTAAAGCAGGTGATACTAATTTGTTTCTCCTATCAATCAAGATCATATATGCTCATTCATGCTGAGTTTCGTATCATCAATACTTTCCTTTGTTAGTTTTGGCTTCGCAACACTATTTTTATTTCTGAATGTTAGTTTTATTTGTTGATTGCAGGGTCATATGTACGTGTTTGGCCATTATATTTGCTTTTATTCTAATCTCTTTGGATTTGAGACAAAGGTTTGGTGGTGAATTCTCTTTTGTCATTTTCATATTCTTGAATTTTGTTTTAGGTTGAGTTTTAGTTCTATTGTAGAATGGATACCTTCACTAGTTATATCCAATCTCTTTTATTTTTGGAAGAGTTAAGTTGCATAAAAAGAAAAAAACAAAAAACAAAAAACAAATATACATCGTACAAGGGGCTTTCCCTAGGAAAAAACAATGAAGGATGGAGACCATCTGATTCAAACTAGATGGGGGCCATCAAAACCATCAGCTATTAAGAACAAAGTCCACAAGGATACAAGCATAAAAATCAGCATCCAAAGCCATAGTTATTATGTTTCAAATAGTCTACACACCCGGGGCTTTGAAGATCTCAAGGGGAAGTCTTCAAGCCTATTGAAGCCATCTATTTGGTTGATTATCTTCAATACCTCTGAAAGAGAATAATTTCCCTTAATGTTCTCCACACTTCTTGAATAATGTTTCAATTGTCCTTGCAGTCATTTTGATATAACCTAGCATTTCTCTCTCTCTCTCTCTCCAAAGAGCATACATCGACTGATGAGGTTACTAAATTTCTTGCCCTTGATGTGAGATCTGCCTATGAAATCAGAGATGGTCAATCACAAACAGGCCATTGAACATTGCATTTCTCACAACTTATAGAAGAGACAGAGGCATAAGAAAAAAACCAGTCAAAAAACTGATAGCGGATGATCATGATTTTCAACAGACAATCTACAAAAGACACAGCTTATAGAAGAGATAGAGCCATAAGAAGCTTTCCAAAGGATGAAGGCATGTCGGGGAACATGCTTTGTGGACCAGATCAACTTGTACCATTCCATGTTCTGTCTACCAAGCCTTAAAAGCTCCCATGCACTAGTAGTTGATGGAGTCCAGTTGATAGAGTCAGGTATCCCTGCACAAGGGCTAATGCCACGGGGCATACTCTGCCTCTACGAGTTACCAGCATGAATGTTAGCCACCTTCACATCTCTTCCAAGGCTAGAGTCGGAGATATTTTTTTCGCCTTTTTTAACCACTGCTATAGGTCCCTGTGGTAGCCAGTACTCAAACGACAAAGATGTTCTCTTCCCATCCCCAATTCTGTGCTTGACGTAGGGTCTGATCTTATCCCTAAAAACCAAAAGGTTTCTTCAGGCCCATGAACAATCAGTGGGTGTAGTAACATTCCATATTGATCTACCTTTAAGAAATTGAGATCTGACCCATTTTTTGGTCCATAATGAGCAACCTTCATCACTGATTAAAAGCCAAAGGTGTTGACTATGAAGCATGGGTACTCCAAAAATGATGCTGTATGAGTACCGGGTACTTACCAAGTGTGGGTACGCGTACCGGTACATTGGTACGCACGCTGAATACATGTCATGTACGGCAAATACATTTGGGTACAGTATGGATACGTTGTGGGTACGGCACCGGTATGACCATTTTTTTTTGCAGCTGCTAGAATTTATTGTTGCCTTTATTATTCTTCTTTCAATTTTAAAAATATCAAGTAATTTATTTCCAGCACCCTTTACCCATGAGTCATAGTTTTGCTCTCTTTTTGCATCTTGTTTTAGACAATAAAAAAGGAAAAAGAAAGAATTATATAATTTTTTAGACAAGCTGTTCTATTTTTAGTTTTGATATTAAAACTTTGATTTTTATGTTGGATGTTTAGCTATAAATTTAAAATAAAATAAAATTTGATGTACCCCAGCCGTACCCGTACCTTATTTTTTTTAAGAATTTGCTGTATCGGTGTACTTGTACCCGTACCCGTACCCGTACCCGTATCTGTACTTCATACCTTAACAATATTGAAAAAATCTTGAGATTCTTTTTATGGAAAGGGGTAAGTCTGAATACAACCAGTACAAAGGTGGCTTGAGAGTCCCTATGTTGTCCAAAACAGTGTTTTTAAAGGCTCAAGGCGCACTAAGGCGCCGAAGGTCTCTTGGAGCCTAGGCGCAAGGCGAGGCGCAGGCTTTATTGAAGTAAAGCGCACAGTATTCGTAAAAAATAGAAAAATTAATATAGACTAATCATTCATAGTACTAAAACAATTTTTTAAAAAATAAAAAGTAATCAAGATTCAAGACAAAATATAGAATAATTCTCAAAGCCATGAAAGTGCATATTACATAACATTTCAATTTTCAAAGATCAAATAATCCACATTCAATAAAATAAAAACATAAACACTAAACATCCAAAACATAAATATCCAACAAATACTAATATATGTCTTAACACTTAAAAACATCAATATCAAAAGAAAGGGTAGGTTAGGTCGGTGTCAGTCAATCATCATCCTCAACATCAATGGCAAGCAAACTATCATCTTCTTCTCCATCAGTTGATTTGTATCCCTCAACATCTTCCTCCTCTGTGTCATCTGAGCCCGCTTCCTCTTCATCTATTAATTGAAGTGGAGTCAATGTTGATGATTTAGATATCCTCGGTTGTTATGCCTTTGAGCGTTTGCTTGTTGCTCTACTTGCATGGCTACTTTCTTCTACTCTAGAAGTTCTAGCAACAGTGGCCCACGTCAAGCCATCATCATCATCAAACACAGGCTCATTATCTCCATCTGATTCTCCATCCATCCTCCCAAGCAACCACTCATTGCTTTCATCAATATTTTGCAAAGATATGGGATCAAGAGTGTTGCGCATGTCATACCTAAGTCTCAATGTTCTATCGTATTTGACATACACTAAATCATTGAGATGTTGTTCCAATCTATTTCTTTTCTTGCTATGAAGCTGTAATTATTAAAAAGATATTAAATTCTATATAATGAGAATAAAAAATATTTGAATTGAACAAAAAATTAGTTAGAATGTTAAATACTCACATGTTCGAATACACTCCAATTTCGTTCACAACCCGATGAACTACATGTTAGGCTAAGGACTTTTATGGCAAAAGTTTGCAAGTTTGGAGTATAAGAACCATATGATGCCCACCAATCAGCTGCGATAATCCACTAGTTAGAAATAATTGTTACCAAGTATTAAGTTTTACTAAAAGTATTACTAAGGCCTCGTTTGGGAACAGGCTAATTTAGTAACTTTTTGGCTATTTGGCTAAAAAGGTAGGTAAAAAAAACTTGTATGTTTGGGATGACTTTTTGGCTAATTACGAAAAGATGTGCAAAAAGTAGAGAGAAAAGAGAATCTTTGACTTTTTGGTATGGGTTGTTGGCTTTTTGGCTAATTTAGTAACTTTTTGACTAATTGGCTAAAATAGTCTCTTGCCAAACGAGGCCTAGTAACTTTTTGGCTAATTGGCTAAAATAGCCTCTTGCCAAACGCGGCTTAAAAATAAACTCTATGAGTCTATAATATATTACCTGGTGCTCTTGTATTTCTTTGCCTAATCGCAACAGACTTGCCAAAAAGACTCTCAGCCTTCATATAAATACTCATCTCATTAGTGATCAAATCTTGAACAGTGACATCCGGGACCAACCTTTGCATGCATTCATAAAACCCATTCATCACTTCATGACCTTTTTGCACCTCTAACGCTTTTGGGTAAAAGAATTCTAGGTTAAGAAAATGCGCAGCTGCATCTAAAGGTCGATGCAATTGAACATCCCATCTTTTGTCAATGATTTCGAAAATTTCATTATACTTCTCTTCTTTATGATCAAATGAACTTGCAATGCATTCTTTTGCCCTATCCATTGCCTCATAAATGTATCCCATGGGAGGTTTCTTCTCGGTATCAACCAATCTAAGCACTTTGACAAGAGGACCCGAGACCTTAAGGGCAAACACAACAGTATTCCAAAATGAAGGCATCAACAAAGTTTGTGCCATTCTTTTACCTTGTGGCTCCTTTACCCATTTGCTTGAGGTCCAGTCTTCGGAGGTGACCATCTTTCTCAAATTGTTTTTTTGTTGATGCATCCTAGACAAAGTCAAAAAGGCGGTTGCAAATCTAGTTTTTGCAGGCTTGATCAAATTCTTCAAATTTGTAAAGCGCCTCATGATGTTTAGCAACGTAGGCCGATTGTAAATGTAGCCATGTATTGCAATACCCCTTTCAAATGTCTTTTTCAGTCTAGGTATCTTGAAAATGTCTTCTAACATCAAGTCCAAACAATGAGCAGCACATGGTGTCCAACACAAGTGTTCATACTTAGCTTCCAAAAACCTCCCTATAATGTAACAATAATGAAGAATTATTATTTTCAAGTTTTTAAATTTTAAATACAAAACAAACTATGAGTAAACAATTTTGATGTAAGGAATGAGGAAATATTCTTACCCGCCAACACATTAGCTGTAGCACTATCAGTGATAACTTGCACCACATTCTCTTTTCCAACTTTCTCCACAAACTTGTCTAGTAATTCAAATAGCTTTTGCCCATCCTTTGAATAGCTAGAAGCATCAACCGACTCAACAAACATGGTTCCTCTTGAACAATTAACTAAAAAGTTAATCAATGTCCTTCCTCTCTTATCAGTCCAACCATCTACCATTATGGAACACCCGTATTTTGCACAATCCTCTTTGTGATACTTCATCAAATCTTCAGTATGTTTCACTTCTTTTTTGAGTTGGGTAACCCGCACTTCATGGTTTGTCGGTGGTTTCATACCAGGACCATATTGGCCAATGGCTTCAATCATTGGGTCCAAAACTCTCATAATTTACTGCATTAAAAGGGATGCCAGCATCATACATCCACCTTGCAAATCTTTGCAGTGCCCGAGCTCTCATTTCTTTTTTGTAAGGGTCATTTGCATCAATTTTGGTTTGTTTTCCTTTTGCTTGGTCTTTTCGATTTTTCACCACTGATTCAGGATTGGGTGTGAAGTAAATATCCATAGGCCCTTTTCTCTTTGACATTTTTGATTTGGATTTGGATTTGGATTTGGATGAACCTTGGCTACTACTTGTCAACTTGCAGTGTTGATTGACATTGATCTCAACGACATCTTCATCTTCATCTTCATCTTCCATGTCTGTGTCATCGAAATC